TATTACCGTAGGTCTCATGGTAAGACCTAGACCCGGGACCGATTTTCTTTTTCGTTTTGAGGTCCCCAGAGGCCAAAAACACCATCCGTTCAAATTCATATATATATATATATATATTTATATATATATATACAGGGTGATTACTGGGAAACGCATGTTTTTGACATTCGTAGTACATAAGGAATATCGTTCGGCGACGGCCGGAAGTGGTTGCGATGTGTAGGGGGAAGTGTGCAGTTTCAATTTTTGCCAAGATGTGGGACCTTGAGCATCGTATGTCTGTCATGCGACGATATTACGCAAATGGTGAATCAGTCACTCAGACTCAGCGAGACTTTCATACACATTTTAACATTGCACGGCATGGTGCTACCCCTGATCGTAGCACCAAATTGCGATGGATACATAATGTAAAACTCAATTAGATCTCTGCTTAAGAGAAAACCTCCTGGACTGGCAAGGACAGTTAGTACCCCTGAGACAGTTGAAAGAGTGCGCCTTGCAACAGCTCAGAGTCCTAGCCGCGACGGCAGAGCTGTGACAGTGAATCCACAACGGTACCTTGGTACCTAGACTTTTTGGAAGAATATTTCTTGCCGGAACTGCATCAACGTGTCGAGATACGTAATGACGTATGGTTCCAACAAGATGGGGCAACAGTCCATACAGCTCGCATTAGAATGGAATTCCTTCGGCGAACATTACCTAAAAGAGTTAGCCCACGTTTTGGTGGTGTCACTTGGCCGAGCGCTCACCAGGTCTTAAAATTCCAGATTTCTTTCTATGGGGATTTTTAAATCTAGAGTTTACATAAACAAACCAAAAACAATACAGGAACTTAAAGAAGCTATTCGCCAGGAAATCAACGCCATTCATAGAGATATGTTAGCAAATTCCGTAGAAAGTTTTAAGGAACGCCTTCAACGCTGTATCAAAGCAGAAGGCGACCCGTAAAATTATCAATGTCTCTAACCACCACGTTAGAAATGTAATTTTTAAATGCTAAATTGCAAGTAATTTTATTCTGAAATTGCATATTGTGTACACTGTTTTTCCACTCATAAATACATTTTTTACTCTGAATTACCTGAGTACTCGTTATTTGAAAAACATGCGTTTCTCGGTAATCACCCTGTATATATTTATATATGTGTCCGTTAGCGCGATAACTCGAGCAAAATTGATCCGATTTTGATGAAATTTGGTACAAACGTGTAAACCTACATTTATTCGAACGAGTTCGCGAACCAGCATAATCGGACCATGGGATCAGGGGTTTATGGGGGGTTTTATGGGGTAAAAATGGGTTTTTCTCATTTTTGACCCTAAAAACTTCAAATTTCTAAATTTCTCTCTAGACCAATTTGAAGAGCTTAAAAAAACAAATAATTTGGTATATTGAAGTGTTTTTGAATGTTCATTGACTACGGAGAAAATTTAAAATTCCCATGTTATTCTTATGGAGAATAAATAAACTGTTCTAGTTTGCTTGTTTATGGATATATTTTAATCAAATTTGGCAATTTGGTTTATTTCATACTAAGCTATCAATATTTCAATTGAAAAAAACACATCTCAACATCTTCCCTGTAGCAGCAAATCTAACTACTCACTAAAATTAATGTTATTTAAATAGGAAATAAATCTGAAAATTTATAGGGAATATTTTAGTAGAAATCAAGCCGGGTAAATGGAAATTCGCTTAGTATGCAGGTTTGCTGCGACGGGGGTATTTGTATATTTTGTACAAGTTAGTCAGATAGTGACACATGTAGTGCCTCCAGTCCGCGCATGCGCTCGCAAATCGTCTGCCGACCGATACTGTAAATAAATGTAAATAGTAAAATATTGGTTGTGTTTTAAGTGATGTGATAAATTTTGCTCCTGAAGATACCACACTTGGTGAAATGTACACATAGCATAAAATCTACAATCCTCAAGAAGCCTGGCAACCATAAGGTATTAAAGGTAAATAAATTTAATTAATCATTCGTTCTTGATAGTCGGGGGGCAAACTGTATTCCGTGGGATTTTTTGTGAAGGGAATGTGTGACTATGTGAAATCTCTTTATTATATGTCAAATGATGGTGTAGTACCGGGTGTTTACCCTCAAATTGCTGTATTTGGTTTTTATGACGTCGTAAATCCAAGATGGCCGCCATGTGTGACATCTATTCATTAAATTAATGATAACTCTTTCCAGAGTAAAATAATTGAATTTTAATTTACACCATTAAATTCAGCTAAAAAAATAAAACAAATTGGTGTCTTGAATCATTGCTCTATGTCCATTGGTTACCGAGATATTAAAGACGGAAAACACAGAAAATTGTCCTTATGTTATCCTTATGGGGAAAAAATAAAATTGTATATCTAGCTTATTACTCAGCATATCTTAATAGTAATTGGTATGTGGCTTCATTTAGTAGAGATCTCCTTGATTATGGCCTAAAATCCCCCATTTTTACATTTCTGTGGCAGCAACCTGCATACTAACTTCCAATGTTATTCTTATGGACAATTTTTTGCATGATTGTTTACGAACAGACGTGTTGAGACATGTTAATGTGTGGCCTCATTTTAATATTTATGGAAGCATTTGCAATTAGTTGAGTATACAGGTCTGCTGCTACGGGGGTATTGTAGCTATAAACAAATTATAGGTATTAGAAAATAAAATAAATTAGACTATAATTGTGAGGCATATATATAATTTTGTAGGAATTTGAATTAAGCAATTGTATGATTGTTGGCGATAAATAGGTAATGACATGTAGAATCGTGTACTACCGAGGATTTTGTCTGAAAGTGTGGCCAAGCTGGTGTTTTCGGCCGCCATCTTGGATCCACCATATTGGATATAAATAACTTTTTTTATGCAGTGCTAGTGTTGTGACACATCATTATGAACTAGACTTTCACGCTGATTTCAATGATAAAATATGTTTTTAGATATCCTTTTTTGCTTGGAAGATATATTCAAATAAAAACTCTCCCCCATACATTTCTTACGGACGTTTCGTAGTTTGAACATTTTAAAGATTATTTTTCTTATTTCTCCAGTTCCTATTAACGCTTGCAGTTCGTTCTAGACTTAAAATACTCAGTGATGTATGAGCTTCGGTCGAGTTAGAGTCGAGCTACGAACCCTAACATAATATTAAATTTAACTTATTACAAATCTGTTGTTATTAAAAGATGTTTATCTCGGGATGTTAATATGCCACTAAGTTCTTCCTGGTCTCAAATTACTTGGTTAATGTTTGGTTTTACATTTTTTTAAATCACTAAATGAAATCTAAGTTATTAAAAAATGAGTCATGAACCATAATTTAACATTGAATTATTTTTTGTCCAAAACTTTCTTTGGTTAAAGACATACACGGCTGGTCATCAGTGTTACAATTTTGAGACGTGGAACGTCTTAGTCTTATATGCCTCATCACACACTATTTACTTTGTACTTACACCAAACAAATGTAGCCCTGATGACCAGCCCTGTATGTCTTTAATTGTTTTATTCAAAGACAAATTTCAAAATAAAAATAATTGTTAATTTTAAGTAAAGGTCCATGACTCATTTTCAATTAGTCAGATTTCATTTAGTGATTAATACAATTTTAAACCAAACATTTATTGAGTAATTTAAGACCAGAATGAACCTTTTGACGTATTAACAACCCGAGATATAATAAAACCTGATTTGGAAAAAGTTAAATTTTTTATAATGTTGCAGTTCATAGCTCAACTCGTCCGATTTTAATGATCGATAGCTTAAATAAAAGCCCTTACATCACTGAATACTTTAAGACTAGAACTAATTGCAAGCGATAATAAGAACTGGATATATGAGAAAAATAATCAAACGTCCGTAAGATATGTATGGGGGGGAGTTTAATTTCAATATATCTTCCAAACGAAAAACGATATTTACAAACGGTTTTCGGAATTGAAAAAAAACACGTTGTGTAAACATCTAGTTTATAATGATAAGTCACAACACCAGCATTACATAAATATCCAATATGGTGGATCCAAGCACTTTCAGACAAAACACCCTGTAGTACACGATTCTATTATGTCATTACCTATCTATCACCACCAATCATACAATTGCTTAATTCAAAATCACACAAAATTACATATGACCCAGAACTATAGTCTATTTTATTTTATTTTATACCTAGGCCTATAATTTGTGAGATTTGTTTATAGCTACAATACCCCCGTAGCAGCAGACCTGTATACTCAACGAATTGCAAACGCTTCAATAAATAATTAAAATGGAGCCACACATCATCATTTCTCAAAGTATGTAAATGAACAAGCATGCAAAAATATTGACCATAAGAATAACATGGGAAGTGGGTATGCAGGCTTGCTGCCACGGAAATGTCAAAATGGGGGATTTTAGGCCATATTCAAGGTGATCTCTACTATATGAAGCCACATACAAATTTTTATTAAGATATGTTAAGAAATAAGCGAGATATACAATTTTATTTTTTTCCCTTAAGGATAACGTGGGGACAATGTTCTGTGTTTACCGCGTGCAATATCTCGGTAACCAATGGACATAGAGCAATGATTCAAGATACCAAATTATTTGATTTTTTGAGCTGAATTCATTGGTGTAAACTAAAATCCGATTATGTTACTCTGGAAAGAGTTATTATTAATAAAATTAATAGATGTCACACATGGCGGCCATCTTGGATTTACGACGTCATAAAAACCAAACACTGCAATTTGAGGGTAAACACCCGGTACTACACCATTATGTGACATATAATAAAGGGATTCCACATAGTCACACATTCCCTTCACAAAAAATCCCACGGAAGCTGGATATGTGCAGTTTGCTCCTGGACTATGAAACTGGGAATAACAGACAAATAAACTTACACTCAGATTACAGCTGACATGCTAGGCCTATCTGGGTAGATTCTAATCATAATTCATAAATGCTGTTGATAAATTAAATATGCCAATTTTTTAGGAACCGAATAAGGCATTAGATTTCAAGAACATAGCAGTGCCAGCCCCATTTGTACTCAGGCCTTTTGCTGGTATCTACAATCCATTCCCTTACGGCTGCTCCATTCTGTGTAACCATCCAGCTGATTGTGAAGCTAAAGATGTGGTCAAAAGGGCTAAGGAGTCCTGGGTGAGTTTTTACTTTTCTTACCACTGCACGGAAATGATCACATTGCCACGACTGTAAACAGTATGCAAAATAGCTTATCTCCGCTCTAGAGCGGGAATGGATCAGCAAAAACCAGCTGATTTTACAGTTTGTGTTTCTACACCAACCACAGCCGCGGAGCCAGTATGTTAACAAACGATTTAAGCAAATAACATAACCGTAATAAAATTTAAGTACAACTCAAAAGTTTATCTATGTGTTATGATAAGTTAATGATGGTGGCAGGAAAAATCTTGTGTGTATTACGAGCCCAAACAGTCATTGCCCCTCTCGAAATGTATGGCCCCATTCAGCTAAATCTTCTTGCGGCCATCTACAGTTCTCGAGCGGCAATGAAGTACTTTGCGCTCTTAATACACAAATAGCTATTTCGTTACAAACTAAGTGTATAAAGTGCAAAAATCAGGAATGAACTCTTTTGGTTACTATGGAAACAAAAACAAATTGTTCATACTAATCAAAGTAAACCATTGTCCAGCTGGTGTTAAAGTTAAACAGGCTTTTGGTACACTCACCAAAGTACCCCCCTGCTAATGATTTAAATTAAGTAAATCATGATACTTTAAATCGTACAGGAAAGCGTACATGTCTTCCAGATTTTGTTTTAATCACAGGTTTTAATTCGCTTGAACTAGTCTTGGGTGGTTGCTCGGTATCTTTTGGATCATCCTTGCTTGATTTGTTGCATCCTGTCTTATTTCATACACATCCGTCGCCCTTGTATTCGGCTCAAAGGTATGCCGGTTTGAGTCGGTCCATCGATACTGTGACATTACAGCCTTTAATCACCACAACGCCAGTCTTGGTAGTTTTGCTGATAATAGGGTAAGGGCCAGAGTATGGGGGTTCGAGAGCTCTCTTGTGGATGTCAGTTCGCACAAAGACAGGTGTGCATGTAGCGAGGTCCTTAAAAATGAATGACGTCTTCTCACCATATGTCTAGTTCCACTGACTGGACGCAGGTTGTTGAAGTGCTGACGTAGGCTCTTTACAAAGCTTGGTGGATCCAGTTGATGTCCATCTTGGCTGGGTGTCATAAATTCTCCAGGAAGTCGTAGAGGTTGACCATACACGAGTTCTGCAAAGGAAGCTTGCATACCTTCACGCCACACAGCTCTGATCCCCATCAGGATCACTGGCAATACTTCGGTCGAACGATCTGTTGTGTGATACCTTATGGCTGCCATGAGTTGTCGAAAGTGTTCAATGAGTCCATTGGCAGCAGGGTCCATTGGCAGTCGTTCGCAGACGTGTTGATCCAGTTAACTGTGTAAGCTGCTGGAAATGAGAGAGGAATTCAAATTGTCGACTCTGATCTATGGTTATTCGCAGTGGCGTTCCAAACCTTGAAATCCAGTTGGTGAACAATGCACGAGCTACAGTTTCAGCTTCTATATTTTCAAGTGGAACTGCTTCAGGCCAACGTGTAAATCTGCGTCAACACAAGTCAAACAATACCTGTAACCTTCTGAAAAACGTAATGGGTCAACTAGATCAATATATGGATGTGTTCGAATTTAGAAGATGTCGTGTTATCTTTGACTTCTGACAGGAAAGGCAGCAGCGAGCCATAGAACGACAGTCTGATTTTATTGAAGGCCAAACAAAACGTTGGCTAACAAGTTTTGTGGATAGGATGAGACAGGTTGTGCAAGCTGTAAAAAGCATTTTTTCAAAATTGTTTTGTGATTGTTTTGTTGAATTTGTTTTGGGACGGGGGTTTGAAGTGGATACATCACAATAAAGCAGTACTTCCGTTCCTGGTAGCAGCACTTGCTTGAGCTTTAGGTTGGATTCCGTTTGTAGATAGTGTTGTGGTTCTTCATCCTGAGGTTGAGACTCTGCCAAAGCATGGAAGTTTAAGGAGGCAGTGTGGCTTCTTCTATCCTAGAGAAAGTATCTGCAACTGCTTTTTTTGTCCAGAAACGTGGCGAATGTCAGTTGAGAACTCTCCAATATATTCCAAGTGACGAAACTGTCTTGGAGAATACTTATCAGGTTTTTGACAGAAAGCTAAGGTCAGAGGCTTGTGATCTGTAAAAATTATGAATCGTCTTCCTTCTAGCATATGTTTGAAATACCTAATGGCAAGATAAATTGCTGTTAGCTCTCTGTCATACGTACTGTATTTTTGTTGAGTTGGACCATAGATAAAACATGGTCCCTTAGTAGATTTCCCATCCTTATGGAACAACTGAAGCCAATTTTATTATTAGTTCTGTCCGGTTTTCTCTAGGTGTCGTGTTTTGTTTACAATTTGTTTCTATTATTTTAGGGTTAGTTTCTCATTATTTGTGTCTCACTGTTTGGTTATATAGCTAGTGAACGAGTTATTGTTTATGATTAGATAGTTTTATTTGGTTAAACGAGGTTTTAACTTACTGAAATAACAAGAAACAAATTGTAAACAAAACACGACATCTACAGAAAACCGGACAGAACTAACAATAGAATTGGCTTCAGCTGTTCTATAAGGATGGGAAATCTACTAAGGGACTATGTTTTAACTATGGTTGGACTTACCTTTTTAGAAAAGAAAGATAATGGTTACCAGCTGTGTCCTACCTTTTACCTTTTGTTGCAATACACTTCCTACGGCATAGTCTAATGAATCGCAGAAGATTGCAAGTGAAGCATCCGTACTTTTATGATAAAATGATTCAAAAAACTGACAGAAAATAGAATTTAATAGGTATGACAAAAACATAAGTGTATAAAGTAAACAAATCAGCAGGGCCGTCGCGTTGTTTTTTGACGCCCGGGGCGGGATGTTGCCAGGCCCCCCCCCCCCAACACACAATGAGTGATGATGTCGCTATCTTTGTTTTAATGCCCAAAAACAGACACCTAAAGGGATTGAATCACCTTACAAAAATACTAGAGTCAGGAATCAGGGATTAATTATTAGGGATAAATTACTTAAATTTGGTATGAAAATCTTTTTTAATTGATGATAACCAAATCCCAATTAATGTAAGCAAATATTAAAACGTATAAAACGTACTATACTGTATATGTTATTAGTTAATACAGAGCAAATTGAAATTAATGCAATGGTATGCAAAACCTCAAACCAAACCTACTCTGAATAGTTATACAGAATAAAAGAAAAGCACGATATCATATTTAGATATGAGATCCTAAACATTAAATGTATACACTCATCAAACTAAGCTGACAGCTGAGCTGAGACTGCCGTAGGAGAAAGGAGTGATTGGGGTAGGGGTGGTTCCCAAGGTCAGCCGTCGGCCGGTCGGGCGAAATAAAAATAGAATATGGCAGCTACGTGTACAGAGCAACACTGTGACATTGCAATAATGATTTATATTAAGATAATTAAGTTGGGACAGAGCCTTCAACTCCAAAGTGGAGTTGGTTATTACGCTATTATTACTAAATTTAATTCAAAACTATATTGATATTTAATTTGGGAAAACATTGCAAATTATAAAGTGATTGGTGTCAAATAATATGTATTTGTTCAATAAAGGAATACAACGTAATATTTAACATTCAGTTACACACACGAATAATAGAACTAGTATTTGTGGTTATACATAACTTTCCAAAATACGTTATGTACATCTAACTTCTTTAAATTTTGTTGCATTACTTTTGCCGCGGCGCCCCCCTGACTGCGGCGCCCAAAATGGAAAAAAAATATTTATACTAATCAAAATAAACCATTGTCCAGCTAGTGTTAAAGTTAAACAGGCTTTTGGTGCACTCACCACAAACTATAGTAAGTTATTAGTGCTATAAATTTTAATTTCGTGTTCCATTAATTCTTTATTGTTATAAAACAAATTTGCCTCGAGCCAATTATAAATTTTAGATTCAAAAGCAGAAAGAGAAAGGCTGGCTGCATGTTGGCTCAGGCAACTTATTATAAAATGTCACCATTGACTATTGGATAATAAGTTTATCAATAGTCAAAGATTTCTCACAATTTTATTTTAAAGAACTACCTGTGATGACCGGCTGGGATGAGGGATGTTGAGTTGTTCTTTTCTTTGTGGTAATCGTGCATCCTGCCTTGTGAAAAACTCATTCAGATTAGCTTTTGTGTGTGTAAGTTGTAGGATGTATAAATAAATATATGATATTGTTCAAATGTGTGGTCTGATCAAAAGTTGTTTGCAGTATAACATGTCTAGCTGCAAGAAATATACTTATATCATAGAAAAACTTAAGAGAAATGTACTGTACAAAAAGATTAAGTCTAAATATTTAAGTTTGAATTATTATCAATGGAATTTCAAAGTGAATGTTCTGTCCAAAATGACGGATCATGCATAAAGAAAAAGCAGGTTGGCCTTAATCAATTCTACCTTTTGGTCGTTATAATAATAACAATTTGTAGGGAACTACACTAACTTTTTGTTACAGGCAGTGGATGGTAAAGCCATCACAAACGAGGGTGCGAGAACTACAGAGGACACGGATGATCTTGTGCCGGAAGAGTTGTTCCGTAGATATACAGAGACAGACTCCCGCCCCATCACCCCCACCCCTACCTTGGCCAGTGTAATGACTAGAGTGCCCCGTGGTCGTAGGTAAGTGTACAAATAAAAATGCTTTTAATTTAGGCTAAACAATTTATATCGGTGGAGGGAACGTAGATTTTTCTTCACATTATTTTTAACTACTATGACATAACTAACAGTGGGGTGAAAACCTGCTAAAATAGTTGTGGATGAAGTACAGTAAAGAATACAATTTTAGTGTAAGGGTGGTTCAATGGAGTTCTCAATTTACTGACAGCTATGATAAACATGACGTTGATGATAACTTGGGGCTTGAATTCAAGCAATTATAGTAATATTCTTTGAATTTTTTGAAAACTTGTTAGAAATAGATTTTAAATATATAGGCTTATGTACAAGTATGTATATGGATATGTATATTTATTATAGCAAATTTTCCATACAGGGAATGAGCTATTAAGCAATTTTGTGTGATTTTTATCAAGTTTTCTCCCGATGTTTACTACATACGTAATTTATGATATAACGAACAGCTGTTTGGATTAAGATTCTCACTTCTAGCGGTCACTGATATGTTTACATTTAACGTTGTTTACAAATACTACAACATTTCCGATCACATTTTGTAAGCAAATCGAAAACCATTCATTGAATCAAGTGAGATACCTCAAGTGACCTTTTGACTTGCATAACGGCTTTAATTGATCACAACTACAGTAATGTGTTACTCTAAATTAAATAATCATCATCCAGGTCTGGAACCTGGAGATTCTATGTCTATCAATTATACTTGAGTTTTGATACCCGGGAAAAATACTGTAAATCAGTGTTGTATAAGACTGGGAAACTTACATTTTTATTACCAATAGCCTACAATCGAGGTTTCCACTCATTAACAGGCGTTTCGATGGCTGTTGTATCAAGTAAATAATTACAACTGCAGTGGGTGATCTTGGGTGCTGCTGGGATCCCGGAAGACCTTTACGATTTTGTTCTGATTGTTACGGCATTTTTCTGCTAAACTCGCTTTTCCCATATGTCACTTTTGGTTTCGACTCACCGCTATTGCTCTGCCATCATACTGCCAACAGGCCTATGCAGGGCTCTAGCCCTACATGTACTGGCTCGAACATTTTTGAATAGCTTACAAACAAGGTTTCCACAATTCTTTTTGTCTATGTTTCCACTCATTGACAATGCTTCAATGACTGTTGTGTGAAGTAAAAATATCACATTAGCAGTTTGATCGCAGATGTTGCTGCGATCTCGGAAGATAATTACGATTTCCGCCGATTTCGTTGTGATCGCGACAGAGGTTAACTCCTATGTGTCACTTTCAGTTTCTACTCACCGCTATTGCACTGCCATCACTGCCACCGTACCACTGTCAATATGTCTGGCTCATCTCAGGCAAAATTGATGTCTTGATGTATAAGTTTTGCGTTTTCTGTATCGATTCCAAAATTTTATTTAATGCTATGACACATTTGGGTAAAACATTTTTGAGCAAACCATCATGAATTTTTTACGTAGCCTATCAATAGTTTGTGACCTGTTTATTGTAAATTACCAATTTAAATTGTTTTCAGTACTTCATTTCATATAGTATGCAGTCATTTCGACATTATTTCGAGTCATCTTCAGATTATGGAAATATAAATTGTTATTTCAGACGACATTATCACTGCATGATAAGTAAATACGATATGATTACATTTTATGACACTATAACTAAGATTGCAAATACTTTTTTTACTTTGGGTTAAGCATAGTGTAAATTTAACTCTGTCTTTTGTGTGTATGTCTGTTGTTAATGCATTAGAGTGCTTATGCTCAGTTCAGTCAGGTCAGCCGATCCGATAAGACGGCTACCGTGCTCCGCTACCGTCTCGCCAAGGTCACGTCGCACCGCTACTCCACGTGCGCGACGGGCTTGTGTAGTTAAGTTAAGTGTTTTTTACGTACATAAGTTAAAATGCCAGCTACCTGTGGCGTTCGCAACGTGGACATTAGCAGCTGCAAGTCTACTGATGTGATAAGTTGGGCCGGTAATTGCAAAAAGACGTTTCATGTAAACTGTGTGAAAGAAGATATAGAAGAGAAGAAGGTTTGTACAGCAAAGCAATGGAGGTGTAGGGAGTGCCGAGAAGGTAGTTTAAGTTCCGGATCAAGTACGCCAATAACAAAGGAATTTATGCTATAAGTTTTGGAAAGTTTCAAAAAGAATTTTTTACTAAGCTAAAGAACGTCAAGAAAGAAGTTTCTGAAATGTTGCAATCTCTAAGTTTTCTTTCGGAAAAAGTTGACGAATCCACCAAATTGATGGAAAATTTAAGATCTGAACTGCAAGTTTTGAAAAAGGAAAATGAGGTTTTGCAAGAAACACTCACCAACCTACCAGACCGGACTCGATCACTGGAACAATATACCCGACGCAGCAACATTGAGATCAGCGGCATCCCAGTCAGAGAGGACGTCATCCAGGACCAGTGTATTATCCAAGGACTAAGTAGTTTGGCCTTGGCAAGACTCTTATCCATGGGAATGGTTTTAGAACACTTATTTGCTATGTCAGTTAAAATTAAATTAAACTTCTCATAACATATATCAACATTGATTTCATGAAAAACTTTGTCCCAACTAGTAGATTTCAAACAACCAAACACCTTATCAAAATCTATAGTCTGCTTATTACAAAATACATTTATTTTGTCTTGGTCTAAAGAAATTTCATCAAATTTAAAACCCAATAAACAATGATCTGTAATATGGAAATAATGGGACTGATAACCTATATTACAATACCAGAAGCGTAGATAAGTTGTTTTACAGGACCCCAAAAGTCAACAAAGAACTGTTCAAACATTCTTATTTATTTTTGGGACCTTTTGTATTTAATAGGTTGCCAAATGACATAAAAAGAAGTAATACTGTTATCAGTTTTTGTAATAGGTTGAAAGAATGCCCTAGTGGAAGACATCAATAGAAATCAATAGAAAAAATCTATTGATATCACTAGATGCTTAGTGATATCAATAGATGTTCATGGATATCATTACAAGTAAATACAAACAAATAGACATCACTGAAAACTTAGTCAATACATATCACTAGACATCTATAAACATAAAATATATCAATATAGATCATTAGAGCAAACAAATCGTTCATTGATATCAATAGAGAATATTTTTTAAATATGTTAGATGTAAATATAAATCAATAGACATCAATACGGGTAAAAAAATTCAAAATATCTCTAAAATGTATCACATATGAGCATTATGGATTATACAAAATATCAATGTAAAGTGGTTAAATAAACAGTAATAAAAATGTTATTTTTTGAAAAAAGGAAAAACTCTAGTTTTAGGTCATATACGTTAGCTGAGGTACCTAAAACTCAATATAATTTAAAAATATATCATTTTAAAATTGTTGTAAAACAGTTACAACTTGTACTGTATTAAATCTTATTTTTTAAACTGCCAAAAACTGATTGCTAAACAATTTTAAAATTGTTGTAAAACAGTTTACAACTTGTATTAAAACTAATTTTCTTAAACTTCAAAAAACTGATTGTAACACAATTTTTAAAATTGTTGTAAAACAGTTACAGCTAGTATTGAAACTTATTTTTTTCAACTGCAAAAAACTTATTGTTAAACATTTTTAAAATTGTTTCAATCTTATATCAACATTGTTGTAATGAAGTTTAAATCAAAATGTTTTAAAATTGTTATACAACAATTGTAATACAGCTTTCGACAACTTTTAAAATTTTTTTTTCTTATTGGGTTATTGTTAGGGATAAAAATCACTCACAAATTCATTATTGAATTCCTTATTTCTAGAAATCAATAAAAATAAATTGTATTGACACTATTCACATCACCCAAGTAGCAAGAAAACAGTTTGAACTGGTAATAAAACAGTTTTGAAACATGTTAAAGCATAAAGGTACATGCTTGAAATGACACAAATGCCATTGAAAAATCTTTTTCAAGTTAAATTATGAGGCCTAACACAGCTTCTCGCATTCAAAATGGCTATCATTACTTAGTCAGACATGAAGCGTCCGTGGCGTAATGGCTTAGACAACTGGCTACCATACTGGAGTCCCAGGTTCAAATCACGGGAACACCAAGAGCTTTTTGCCAAAAATTTTATTACTTTTTAAAACATTTTTATTAGCTTGCTTTCTTGTCCGGTACAAATTTTGAAATCAATTTTATACTAACTTCCCGACGAGCTAGAGACTTGAAACTTGAAATATGGCTCACAAATGGAAGACAATGCAATATTATATCATTTAATTTTCATATGTCCCTAGGGCTAAGCCCCATGGGCTTGTTTTTATTAAATCGCTTTCTTGCAAATTTTGATACTTCCCGATGAGCTAGAGACTTGAAATTTGAAACATAATTCATAAATGGATGACATAGCAATATTATATAATTTAATTTTCATATTTCCCTTGGACTACGCCCCAAGGGCTTGTTTTTATTAGCTCGTTTTCCTACAAATTTTGATATAAATTTTAAACGAAGTTTCCGATGAGCTAGAGACTTGAAACTTGAAACATAGCTCACAATTGGATGACAATGCAATATTATATAATTTAATTTTGATATTTCCCTTGGGCTACGAACCTTTGGCTTCCAAATTTTCCATGTTTACATTTTAAAAGAATGTAAACATATCAATTAATTTAAGTCAGCTGTAAATACTTAAATTTGACAATTAGAAGAGCAGAGGTTAAGAGGTACAGGTTCTGCTCCCGAGATATTCTAAAAATATAAAACAATCATTTCAAAGTAAAGATAAAACATCTGATTACAGATAATAAGGTTTTGGGTTTTGGTTATGCATTAAGAGGCTATATATAATAGACTAGCTGAACCCGGCAGACGTTGTCTTGCCTTTGACTATTTATAATCCCGCGGGCTTTGCCCCGTTTAACTTTTTAATTTTCAAGATGATCTCGTTCGCATGGCTCAATCACGTCCTGGTTGAAGTTCGTTCGCTACGCTCACTCACCTTTAGGTTGGAGCTCGTTCGCTGCGCTC